TTTTGTTTCTCCTGGGGCTTCTCAGGACTTCTCTCTGTTGATCCTGAAGGAAAAATCCGCTGCACCTCCACCTGGTGACTGATGCTGTGGCCAGAAACATCCTGGAGACGCTCTTCCGCACATGGATGGTGCCTGCTCTTGGGGTCAGCTTCTACCATGCTGACCAGCTCAAGGCAGGAATCCCGCCCCCTCCTGCCCACCGGAGGCCACACTGCTCCTTACTCCCACTGCTTGGTGATACGGGGGAGGAGAGTCCCTGTCCCCTGTCCCATCACACCTACTGAAGTTCACATCCCTCTCTCTTTTGAGGTCCTCTTCTGCCCACTGTGTCACTGACTATGTTCGGGCACCCATGGCCTCCTTCTCTGCCAGCTCATGCCCTGCCCTTCTCACCTACAGCCACAGATCTCCTGGATCCCCAACAAGCACTACTCCGGCCTCTATGGGCTAATGAAGCTAGTGCTGCCCGGTATCCTGCCCCCTGGCCTGGCCCGAGTCATTGTCCTGGACACGGATGTCACCTTTGCCTCCGACATTGCAGAACTCTGGGCGCTCTTTGCTTACTTTTCTGGTGAGAGGCCTGGGCCCTAGCCCTTCCTTGCCAGCCCCTTCCCTGGCTTGCCCAGGCCACCCTGTGGTCTAGCCCAGAGCCCAGGTTCTCCGGGCAGTCTTGGGCAGTTCCCTCATGCCCTCCCATCCCAGACAAGCAGGTGATCGGGCTCGTGGAGAACCAGAGTGACTGGTACCTGGGCAACCTCTGGAAGAACCACAGGCCCTGGCCTGCCTTGGGCCGGGGATTTAACACAGGTGGGGATAGTGGTCGGGGAGGCAGGAGGGGTGGGCTGCTGGGCCCCAGGGGCTGGGCAGGGCACAGAAAGCTAGGAAGCCCCCAGGAAGAATAGTGCTATGGAAAACACACTGGATGAAGAGCTGAAAACAGTTTGACCTCGGCTCCCCAAGCTGGGTGACTGCGGCCAGCTCTCCTGGTCCCTCTTTTTACTCATTCATAAAATGGAAAAAGTGTGAATAGCTCTGGCATCACTAAGTGTTAGATGGTAGCTGCGGGGTGCTCAGCAAGTTGTGTGGTATTCAGTTCCTCTGCTCTGTCCCCAGAGGACTAGTGATTGACGGCTCACCATTACATCTGAACTATCAAAAAACACAGTCCTGCATTAACAATGGGGATACATTCTGAGAAATGGGTTGCTAGGCAATTTCATTGTTGCACAAACATCCCAGAGTGTACTTGCACAAATCTAGATGGAATGGCCTACACACCCAGGCTGGGGGATGTGGTCCTGTGTTCCTAGGCAGCACACATGTGCAGTGTATGACTGTACTGAATGCTGCAGGCAGCTGTGACACAGTGGTGAGTGCTTGTGTATTAACATAGAAAAAGTACAGTAAAAATGTCAGGTAACAGTAACTTTTCAGTTTCAAATCTTTTTTTTTTTTTTCTTTCTTTTTGGTACCAGGGATTGAATCCAGGTACACTCAACCACTGAGCCACATCCCCAGCCCTTTTTATATTTTATTTAGAGACAGGGTCTTGCTAAGTTGCTTAGGGTCTTACTAAGTTGCTGAGGCTGGCCTTGAACTTGTGATCCTCCTGTCTCAGCCTCCTAGGCCTCTGGGATTACAGGTGGGCACCACCACACCCAGCCACCCCCAAATAATCTTAGGGGAGAGGGACCCCTTGAATATGCCATCTGTCATTGACTATAATGTTATGCAGCACAGGATTATATCCATAAAAAAAAAAAATCAGCATTCAGTTGGTACCTTCACAACCCCCACTCCCCAGGAACTTGTCCCTGGTGGGCATGACAGCCTCTCCCCATTGGCAGGTGTGATCCTGCTGTGGCTAGACCGGCTTCGGCAAGTGGGCTGGGAGCAGATGTGGACGCTGACAGCTCAGCGGGAGCTCCTCACCCTGGCTGCTACCTCCCTGGCTGACCAGGTCTGGGAGAACCTTTGGGTGGGTGGGGAGGGCGGGGGGCTGAGGTGTGATGGCTGTCTCTGCCCAGGACATCTTCAATGCTGTCATCAAGGAGCACCCGGAGCTGGTGCAGCCCCTGCCCTGTGTCTGGAACGTGCAGCTGTCTGACCACACGCGGGCAGAGCACTGCTACTCTGAGGCGGCTGACCTCAAGGCGAGTGGTGCAGGGGGCTAATGGAGGTGGGGGACAACGATAGGACTCCTGTATCCTGCCCTCATCCCCCTGCTCATACCCTCCTGGGTCTTAGGTGATCCACTGGAACTCGCCAAAGAAGGTGAGGGTGAAGAACAAGCACGCGGGATCCTTCCGCAACTTCTACCTGACCTTCTTGGGGTACGATGGGAACCTGCTGCGGAGAGAGCTCTTTGGGTGCCCCAGCCAGACCCTTCCTGAGGCTGAGCAGGTTAGAGGGAGCCACCCTCCCTGCCCTTGGGGAGGCCCGTCCCTTTCTGTTCTGGTGGATCCCAGCCTTGGCCCTTTCCTCTGCCCGCTCAGTTGCAGCGGGCCCTGGCACAGCTCGACGAGGAGGACGCCTGCTTTGAGTTCCGGCAGCAGCAGCTGACCGTGCACCGTGTGCACATCACCTTCCTGCCCCATAAACCACCACCTCCCCGGCCACACGACATCACCCTGGTGGCCCAGCTCTCCATGGACCGGTAAGGGTGCTGAAGGCAGCCCCAGGGAGCGCTTCCTGGCTGGGCCTGGGGGTTTCAGAGAGGGTGGGTGGCAGTGAGCTGCCTGTCCCTGGACCAGGGGGTCCGGCAGTTGGAGACTCTGGTTCTGGTGGAAAGAGCTTGAGCTTCAGGTGCCGCTTGGCAGGGTGGGATCAGGGGCAGGTCCGAATTTCTCAGTTCCTTAGCTACAGGTACCACGTTTTCTCATTTGTTAAATGAAGAAGTGCGGCCTGCAGGGTGGTTGTGAAGATGAACTAGGACTGGCTCAAATTGGAAGTGGGGGAGGAGGTGTCCACAGCAGCTCACTTTGGGGAGGTTTTCCAGGCCCCCCTGGGCCTCTGTGCAAGAGGCTGACCTCCCGCCTCACCCCAGGCTGCAGATGCTGGAAGTACTGTGCAGGCACTGGCCGGGCCCCATGAGCCTGGCCTTGTACCTGACAGATGCAGAGGCCCAGCAGTTCCTGCATTTCGTCGAGGCCTCGCCCGTGCTCTCTGCTCGGCAGGACGTGGCTTACCACGTGGTGTACCGTGAGGGTCCCCTCTACCCGGTGAACCAGCTCCGCAATGTGGCCTTAGCCCAGGCCCTCACACCTTACGTCTTCCTCAGTGACATTGACTTCTTGCCTGCCTACTCTCTTTACGACTACCTCAGGTGAGCCCAGAGGTTATGAGGAACTGCATTTAGGATGGATATTGCCAGGGCTGAGATCTCTGTAGGACTCCAGGCGGTGTCCTGTTCCTTTCTGGTCTCAGTGTGCTCTGCACAATGGGGTTTGTATTAGGGTGTGTCTCTGGGCTGCCATTAGAGTCAGGGAGGCTGGGACTTCTTTTGAAGTTACTCTGTTTCTACTGGGGGCTCCAAGGTTAGCTGTCCTTTGAAAGGCAGGTCCTATGGCTGAGCTTTAAGTTCTCTGAGCCCGCTCCTCCCGGGAGAGGCCCTTCCCTGCCTTCATGGGTGCTCCTCCTAGGGCCTCCATTGAGCAGCTGGAGCTGGGCAGCCGGCGGAAGGCAGCTCTGGTGGTGCCCGCGTTTGAGACCCTGCGCTACCGCTTCACCTTCCCCAGTTCCAAGGCTGAGTTGCTGGCCTTGCTGGACTCCGGCTTGCTCTACACCTTCAGGTAGGACAGGCTGCTGCTCTGCTCAGCTGTGCCCACCCTGCACCAACAGCTCCTGGCCTCAGCCTGGCCCCTGCCTGATCCCACTGCACAGGTACCACGAGTGGCCCCAGGGGCACGCACCCACGGACTATGCCCGCTGGCGGGAGGCTCAGGCGCCATACCGGGTGCAATGGGCAGCTGACTATGAGCCCTATGTGGTGGTGCCACGTGACTGTCCGCGCTATGACCCTCGCTTTGTGGGCTTTGGCTGGAACAAGGTGGCCCACATTGTGGAGCTGGATGTGCAGGTGAGGAGGGCGCCTTGCTGCCTCCAGTTTCCATCTGAGCAGGTCCACTCTAGCGCCTCTGCCTGGCGGCTGCCCTTTGGTCCCCTTTGGTCCCTGCCTCAGTTCTTAGGAGCTGCCTTGTAAGCCTTTCCCCAGAGCTGCAGGCTCCCACCCAGCCTGCCCCTCGCCCTCACCTGCTGCAGGAATTTGAGCTCCTGGTGCTGCCCGAGGCCTTCACCATCCACCTGCCCCACGCACCGAGCCTCGACATCTCCCGCTTTCGCTCCAGTTCCACCTATCGCGACTGCCTCCAGGCCCTCAAGGAGGAGTTCCATCAGGACTTGTCGCGCCGCTATGGGGCTGCTGCCCTCAAATACCTCACTGCCCTGCAGCAGCCGCGAAGCCCTGCCTGAGCCGCCCAGGCTGGGCCCGCTGGGCTCGCTGGCCTTAGCGCTCACACACTCTCTGAAGACACCAGGGACGCTGCCACTCTGCCCCCAGCTGCCCTCCCACCATCTCAGCTATTTAAATTATTTAAGGACTCTGTGGGCGTGGTTTGGGTGGACCGCTGCGGACCCTGGGTCCCTCCCCTGCCTGCCTTTGCCCCAGCTGGTTTGGGGCTGGCTCCCCTGCCCTGAATTGTACGTCACTTTTTCGTAAGTAAAGTTTGAAAAGGTTCTTTTCATGTTCCTTTTGATTTTGGGGATCAAGGGCTCTCCAGGGTCTGAGGGCATCCGTGGACAAGGGGGTGCTCCCTGGGTACTGTCACAGCATGGCCAGAGAGAGGCCTGGGGCGGGCAGCAGTGCAGCTGGGTCCCACCCAGGCAGTGAGAGTTCCCGGGAGGGCAGAGGCTGGAATTTGAGTGGGTCTTGAGTTTGTGAGCCCTGCCCTTCCTTTACAAGCCACCCTTCCCCAGCCCAAACCCAATACCATGAGGCCGAGAGACTTTATTTGGCTTTATTTAGTAAAATGTTAAAATAAATAAATACAAATTGATCAGCTGCTCTGTTTCCCCCCACCCCCTCAAAACAAAAATCAAACAAACAAAAACAAAAACTTTGAAGCACAAAACTCCAAATACAAGTTCTACCAAGACTGAAATCACAAAGGGCATGGACAAGAGACAGGATTGGGGTCTGGCTGGCTCTCCTCTGCACGCTTGCTGACCTCTGGCCTGTCTGTCCCGCCCTGCCTGACTGCAGCTCACACTGGGCTGAGAGGCGAGGAGGCTGGAGAGAGGCATAGGGCCCAAAAGCTGTGTGGGGTGGGGGTCCTCAGGGAGGAAGAGCCTTGGGAGAGGGGGTGCCAAGTGGAGTTTGTGAGCCCTGCCCTTCCTTTACAAGCCTGGCTCTCTGGTGGGGTAACCCCAGCTTCCTCCTCTTCCCCTGGTGGGAGGGCCCGTGGAGTCTTCCCAGGGGCCACCACTCCCTTCCTGGAGAGGAGCTGACAGGGGCTCAGGGGGTAAGCCCGGGGGAATGGGGCTCCTGTTTCCTGCCAAGGGTGATGGCTGAGGGGTGGGGTGCGGTCCAGTCACTGACACAGCCACAGAAGCCATGGGAGTGGAGAACCTAGGACCTGGAAAATGTGCCCTGGCCCTATCCATCCTGCCACCCCAGGAGCCTTCTGCCCCTGGGTGAAAGTCTCCTGAATTCAGCCCTTTAGATAAATAAGGACCACACCCAAGGAGGGAGAGAAGGTAAGAGACCACTTAAGAGTGTGTGAGCAGCGGCCTTAGTGATGAGAGCCCAAAGGGCTGGAGAGAGGAAGCATCAGGGGTGGCGCAGAGGCAGCTAGCTGACCGTGGAGTCTGAGGTGTCTGGCAAGATGGCACTCTGGGGAGGCGCCGTGAGCCAAGTGCACCAGTTCATACTACCTCCTGCCTGGACCAAGCAGCAGCAGAGACAGGGGCAGGCCTGCAGGGAAGTGGGCACCCAGATGGTGACCTCTGCAGGTGCCCTGGGCACATCCCAGGCTCCAGAGACAACCCTCACACAGGCACGGCCCTCCCAGGGCCCGTCCCTAGCTGAGTCCTCTGGTCAGGCGCCACCAGCAGCTTGCCCCAAAGGGCCTGATAAGGAAGGAAGAACTTGGAGCTGGATGAGCTCACCCAGGCCAGACAAGACCCAGCAGGCTTCAGAAAGCAAAAGGACCTGCAGGCCCCAAGAATGCAAAAGGTGGGGAAGCAGCAGCATGACCTCACTGCCTCCAGGACTGCGGCTGGTCAGGGACAGGAAACCCCAGGCCAGAGCCCTCTGATGTGACTGTAAAGCTAGCTGGGCACTATGTGGATGTCAGAGCAGCTAAATGCTGGGCCAGGAGAAGCAGAGGAAGGAGGAGGAGGCAGAACAGCTCAGATGGGGCTGGTATGTCCCAGGTGGTCATGGGCACCTCTGTCTGGGGGACAGAGAGGAGCTCTTTCCTTGGCATGACTCTGAAGACCGAGTGACCAGACCCTTTCAGTTCAGCAGCATTTGGGAGTTTGAGACCAGAATGGAGGCTGTGGCAGGTTGCGTTCTGTACTACACAGCTGACCCACTGAACTCCAGGAAAAAGCCACCTCCCAGCTTTAAGGTGAGGTCAGAAAGTAGGCGACACTGATCACAGCAGCAGGCAAAACACTGGTCAGTTCTTGGCCTGGCCCCTTGGCCTGTGATTCCTCAGGCAGCTCTCCTCAAAACAACGTAATGATGACTTCCCAAGTGCTTTCCACAAAAGGAAATGGGCCTCGACAAGTCGAGTGGGAGAGCCGAGGCAGGGCGGATAGCCTACCGCTAGTCTCTGATCCTCCGCCAAGGATTCCTCCAACTAGTCCAGGCAGCTTCAAAGCTCCCTGACTAGACATAGCACCTTGATTTCTGCATGAAAAGGGGGCTCTTCTCTGTTTCCCTCAACCAACCTGGCAGCCAAGGCCTGACCCTGAGACCTTGCAGTTGGACAGTTTCCTCTCCTGACACCCTGGAAGGATGAATGAAGTGGCTGGTATGGATGAGACTCAAATTCACTCTAAGAAGCATCTCTTCTCTGCTGCCCTTGGCTTTCAGGATCTAACTCTGTCTCTCTGGGCCCAGCTAGGTGAGGGAGAAGTGAAAAGGGCCTTTTCTGCCACTCCTAGACCTCCAGCATCACAAGGTCTGGGGTGGGCTCAGGAGAGACTGTTGCAGGGTCAGGGCAGAGCTTCTGCCTCTGTCCCTTAAGCTTGGGACACACCAGAGACAAAGGTCTTCAGAAAAAGCATGCATACACAATTTCTCACCGGCATGATGAGAGAGATGATCTCAGTCTTTCAGAGAGCTGGTTTTCCAAGAAAGAGAGGACACAACAGGCCAAGCAAAGTGAGCACAGCGATTCTAGCCCAGGGTCACCCAGGAGGCTTGTGGGTGGGGGGAGTGGAGCAAACTGTCTGGTGCCTGGAGCCAGCAGGCAGAGGAAGTGGCTGGAGCTTCAGACCTCTCTTCAAAAGCAAGACAGACTTGAAGGCCATCGGGTTCTGTCTCAGAGACACATGCTCCCACAAGACATCTCCCTCCTCCTTTGTTCTCTCTAAGCACCAAGGGCTGATGCAGCCAGCCTGCACCCCTGTACCCTTCCTGAGGCCAGAGTACAGGGGTACCAAGGAGCCTCAATGGCCTTTCCCCTCAGAGGTGCCCCCCAGGCACTCGTAATGCTGGTGGCTGAAAGACTGAGAGCAGCACCAAAGGAAGAGGTCTTGTTAGGCACCAGCCTGTGCTCTAGCGAAATCCGAGGAGACCATGGGAAGGGCCTACACCATGCATACTCCATCTGCGCTTCAGAAACAGGAGACAAGACCCTGCACCAGGAAGAGAGGACAGTCTTTTCTGAGAAGGGGAAGCGGGTGGGGAAAGCCCCACCCAGCCCTTCATGGAGACTGGCCACCAGTCTAGAGACACAAACACAGCAAAATGTCATAATGATCAGCAGGTTCTGTGCTAAAAAATTATAACTACACGGCGTTTCTCCAGTTCTGACACCTTTTTAATAGAAATCACTGTTTTTAGGAAACAAATAGCACTTTTGTAATTTTTTTTTACAATGTTTCTTACCTTGATCTTAATTTAAGTAACACTAGGAAGACCTCAATATCTTTTATTTTCCTTTTTAATTTTAAAAAAAGTTGTTGTTGTTTTCCCCAGATACAAAGATTTTTGCCCTTGCATAAAAAAACAGTGCCCGAACGATGACACAAGGACTCACACAGACTCACAGGACCTCACCGACACTATGGTTCCTATTCTACCATGCAAGGTCTCGACTACCCTTAATTGGACTGTCAGCCTGAAAAACAGCTTTTCTATTTCTTATTTTAGTTTTTGTTACAAAAAAGTAAAATAAACAACAAAATAAAACTTTGTTTAAGGGAAAAAAGAACAAAATAAAAAAATTAAAAAAAAGAGGAAAGAAATGTCTCCATTGGATTCTCACACACCTGGGTCGCGTGCTGCTTCACTCAGGATCTGCTCTTCTCATAAATATAGAAAAGGGATGGAGCTTGTTTTCAAGTAAAATCACTGATTCACCTTTTTTTCTTCTCTGGACCACACACACACCCTTCTTCCCTGCCTCGGGCAAGGTCAGCATGCCCCTGGCTGGGCTTGCCTTGGTCTCCAGAGGGACTGAGGGGGTCGCCCGCCCGTGGGATGTGGATGCACCAGGCAGGGAGGAGGGAGTGGGGGGGGGAGCGCAGGAGCGGGCTGGGAGGGGAGCCAGTGGCTGCTTGGCGTCTGTCTCTCCTTCACTAGCCCCCCAGACAAAGTTAAATACTGCTAATCTGATATACTTTCCCACCCCTTGCTCCCTCCCGGCCCCTCCCCCTTCCCTTTTCTGGGCACTGGGTTGGTTAAATCTCGATTTCCATTTTTTTGGTTTGATAGTAGTGAAAGTTTAGAAACAGGAAAGCCCACACACTCTTTGGACTTGTCTTCTCTACCTAGACAAACGGCTCGGCAAATAAGGATCTGAAACCTGCTCTCCTCCCTCCGCCCATCCCTGCTCCCCACCCAACAAAACAAAAACAAACCCATCGTGGCTGTGGAGGCTGCTGCAGGCACACACTGGTGTATAATAGAGAGAGTAAATATATTATTTCACTTGGCATGGTGCTGGCAAAGAACCTCCAGCTGGCACTATTTCATGTAACGTGGTCCAATCTTCGCGTGTACACACAGAATAAGAAGGATCAATTGGCAAACTTGGGTGCCACCTGGCACAAGCATCTTCCCTCTCTCTGGAACCAAAGAACCAAAAGAATCCTGTACTTTCCAGAAGAAATCCGGCTTTGCTTTTCTAGAGTCTTCAGTGTTGTTTTTCTCCTTGCCGCCGGGATCCCGTGGCTTCTCCGTGAGGGCTCTGTTATTTAGTCTCTTCCCCCTGGCTACAGTTCGCTGTGCAGCTCTGAGAGGGGGAAGGGGCCGGTGTGGAGGTGGTGGCGCTGGCAGGGGGGGTGCAGTCCGGGCCATTGGAGATGGCCCCCACAGCGGCCTCAGAGTCCACAGGTCTGGAGAGGTCGATGCCGTGGATGAGGCGGATCAGCTGTTTTACCTTCTCCAGGGAGCTGTGCATCTCCTTCTGCCGGGCGAGGATGGCGTTCTTCATTTCCATGCATTTCTGCAGCAAATGAGAACAGGGGTTTTCTAAGGGGTCTAGAAGCCCCAGAAGGGAGAAGCCTGCCCAATAAAAGAAGCCCTGGGACTGTTGTGTAGTCCCTAGAACTTGTTCTGTTCTACCTGGTGTGGGCAGTGGCTGCCTACGGAGAGGCAGGCGAGAGGTGGACAGGCGAGTGGGCTGCCAGCATCCACTCGACAGGAGCCTTAACTAGACTTCACTCCCACCATGACACTATAAAAAATTTCCCACAGCTGCTGTAAAGCTGGCCTAGGCAGGTGTTGGTGTGCTTTGTCATGCTGAGGGTGGCCTTCACGACCGGGCTGAGCTCTCTAGGGTAGAAAACAAGACAGTGTTGTGTGGTTCACGTAGAGGGCCTATGGAGCATCGCCTGGTCAGTAAGAGTTTAGAGACAGACTGGTGATGTTTAGGCGCACCCGAAGCCCAAGGACTATGACCATTAGGACTTCTCCTTGCATACTTAGGGACTTGTAGTCTTTCTCCCTTTAGTCCTTGGCCTTCCCCAATGCTGGCTTCTGCTGTAGGCAGGGAAAGAGGTATTGAACCTACGCCACAGGTAGGTACTGTGTATGAATGGTGTGGAAGAGGGAGTGAGTGAAGGGCCAGCTGAGGTGACCAGCAGGAGTCACATGGAGGGTCAGTTGAGGCTCTACCCTTCTCCCCCTCACTGTCAGAAGCATGCAGGGTGGTGGCGCTCCTGTCATAGCTGCTACTTATTCCTTCAGCATGGAGACTGGAAAATCCTCGCAGGTTAAAATTCAAGAGGATGCTCCAGGGCCAGGCTGGGCGCCACACGCCAGCTGGCCACCCAGGCCCAGGGCTGAGCTCTAACTGGAAGACCAGCTTCACTTCACACCTGCAGAGTTAATCACGTTAATAAACGGAAGGACCTGAACCAGCCCTTGGGTCCAAGTGTCCTGTCAGGTACATGGAAGGGTCCACACTTGTGCATCTGAGTCACTGCTGGCAGGAGGGGGACTTACACTTATAGAATTGCTGAGTTGTTTCACCTTCTGCTCTAATTGTTCTCGTTCTTGTTTTAAATCTGAACTCCATTTAAGTAATTTCTGTTTCTCTTCTTCTTTAGCTGAGAAAAAAATAAATAGAAACAATGAACACTTTATAATAATGAACTCTTTGACAAGGCCACTGGGATCAGAGCTTGCTGAAGAAGATATTTTCCCCAAAGTGCCCCCCAGTCTCACAGCTAGAGCACATTACCTGCCCACCTGGACTTTTTCCTTGGTCTACGTCCAGGAGGGCTAAGAAGGTTGTCTGTGGCATCATACTTTGCACTTTCCACTTCATTTAATAAAAGGTTTTCATATTTAATTTTACTTGAGAAAACAAAAAGTATTGCCTTCTACCTTCCTTAAAGAAGGTGGACCTTACCAAACAAGGAGTATGAGTGACCTTTACCTGCTTTGTAGGCAATATAGGAATGAACAATTGCTAAAGTTCCGGGCCATGGAATTGCTTCTTCCTTCTTCAGCATCTGAAAAGAATTTAAGAGTTCTACCTTGAGAAGGAGACAGAAATACACATCCTCCAGGTAAACGCACACAATAGAAATCCAGGAAGGGTTTACAGAAGCACTGTTGCAAAACCCTGGTCTAGAGTTTCTGGACTATGAAGTTCTGAAGTTAGCTTTGCAGAATGAGGCTTGAAGGTGGCAAGAGCCAACATACATGCGCCTAGGCTTTAGGAGGAGCTGGCACTTGGCTGAGCATTCTTTTCACATGAGCCAAAATGATCCCACCCCACTCTCAACAGCTGGGACACCAGCATAAAAGCTGTTCGTGAGCATGGCAGCCGCCAAGGGGGTTTGTTCTGGATCTGACGTGGGCTGCCTGTTTCAATTTTTGCCTTATATATCCCTCAAAGACATCTTGACTAAGGACATTAAATATTGGTTCCAAGTACTGAAGTATAATCTAGACCCTGTGTAGAAGATTATCAGAGGGTTACAAAGGCAGAGAGGGTGGCTCCTCTATGCTGCAAACAGTGGGACAAGAGCCAAGAGTAAAGCTAGAACCTCCCAAATCAGGGTTTTCAGAAGAACTGAGCAGAATCCTGATGCATGGTGAGCTACTGGGCTTGTTTATTATTTATAACTTCCTTACTACCAAAAGACTCAAGATGGCTTTTAATAAAGACATAAAGATGCCTGAGAAATAGAGACCAGGAAGAATACAAGGGAAAGAAGAGACTAGGTCAGTTACTAGTATGTATGCCTGTGAAGTCTGCAATAATAAGACAGCACTTTACAGTGAGTTCTCTAAGGCTGATGACAACAGAGTTTAAGATGGAGAACCTCTGAGGAAATGAGGTGTCTCCTGAGCGCTGTGCCATGAAATGGGGAGGAGTAACCAGCAGAAAGAAGAGAACCGTGTTCCTAGGATCAGAGGGGAAAGGCATTCCTGACGGCACCGTCCTCTCCCCTTGGCCCTGAACTGGTACCTGGTCCTGACATCTTGGACAGATCCACATGCCCTTGGGAATTGTTTTCAGAGGTGGGTCTAAGCAGTCCAGGTGATACACACGGGAACATGTGTCGCACATCAGCAACTGGCCACTTTTTCTGCAAACACTGCAAAAATCCTCATGGATATCACCCTATGAAATTGAGAGGAAAGGTAAGAAAAAGGACAAAAAAGGTAAATTTTTCATGTTAACATGTACTCTCTGGATGCATATCAATATCTTAGGACAAGGTGTTGACACAGCACAGTGCCTGCCCCTCCAACACTTCAGTGTTTAAGAAAAGTCGGAACTGCCAATGGTATAAGTCTGCAACCGCTCCACATGGCTGAGGTTCCCTAGGTGGGGACAGTATTATTAACTTTAGAAATTAGAGTTTACAGGAAGTTCTGTAGTTGGCTAGGCCAAAATTGTAAGGGTCAGCTCAGCATTGAGTCCAGGAAATTTTACAGGCACTGAAATCCAATCACCAAAGTGTCTCACAATATGATACAAACAATCTCAATTACCTACCATTTTGGCAAGAAGGTTTGGGAAAGAGACAAGAAATTTTTACTGAACTCCTAGATTATTCAGGAGGAGAATATAGTAAAAGTCCAAATGGGAAAAGACTGAGTCAGGATTAAATTAAACTCTTCAGCTTCCTAATATGAAGAATTTAAGAAGCGAAAGCAATGACTGACACCTCTCTCCCCCCCCGCCGCCCCCCCGCCTCTCTCCCTCTCTTTGGTACTGGAGTGCTTTACCCAAACTATATACCCAAACCTTTTCATTTTTTATCCTGAGACAGGATTTTGCCAAGTTGCTGAGGCTGGCCTTGAACTTGCAATCCTCCTTCCTTAGCCTCCTGAGTAGCTGCAATTACAGGTGTACACCACAGTGCCCAGCTTGAACCTGCTCCCTTAAAAGCCAGTATTTTTCATTCGCTATTCAATGGACCATTCTATTGTGGGAGTCTTTATTCCTCCCTATAAAATACTTCACCAGATGGAAAAAGACAAGCAGCCCTAGTCCTCTCTGGCCCTTATTGTGATAGTTTTAGTACTCAGGAGTCTGCTGGAGCCCGATGAACAGAAGGCACCATCAGAAAAGCAGCAGATCTATTTAAAATTTGAAGAGGAGAACACGGGGAGAGAGAAAAAGAGAGTTCTTAAAGAGGTGTTCTTCAGCAAGCCAATGCTCAGCCTGTTCTCTGGACAGGATTAATGCTACTGATAATTGGAATGCCAGGGAATGGAAAACTGAAGGGCCAAGGCAGAGGTTACTCAGCAAGTTAGTACCGCTTTAAGATTTCTTGGCTATTCTGCTAAGGCATAAATACAGAACTTTTGTACAGGAAGCAATGATACAGAGAACAATGCCTAGTCCCTCCTTTTATGACCTAACTTGTCCATCACCACACCATCGAAGGAATGCATCTTCACGGACCTACCATTTAGGACACTTTCTCTGTAATTCACTAGGGTATCTGGTAGCCCAGGAAAACGTTATAATACACACCATAGTGTAGTCAGATTTTATTCTTTCTTAATAAGAAAAAGGTTACCTCTGGGCAGTAAGAAAGATACTCAGTAGCAGTGCAAAAATATTATATGAGGCGTGCAGCCTGAGTTTAAGTGTGACCCTGGGAAGGTCACTGTGGGTCTCCAAGCTGAGCTTGGCCATCACCATGCTGAACATTGTCAGTTGTTGTACCCATTTGAAGAGAGCCCTGGCTCTCTCTTGCACTGACATTTAAACACTTTTCCCATTTAACTCTGGGCCCCCACAGAGGCTGCACCCATGGGTTAACCATGATTTTCTTCCTTCATTTCTAATATCAGGCCGAGGGGTGTTTTTCTCCTCTGTAAAGTTCGTTTTTCTTGACCTTTGGCCCCAGTTGTAAGTCTGCATCTTTATGAAATCCATAACAAATGTATGCAGAATGAGGTGGTACACTCTTGTAATCCCAGCGACTAGGGAGGCTGAGACAGGAGAATTCCAAGTTTGGGGTCACTCCAGGCAATTTATTGGGACCCTGTCTTAAAATAAATTTAAAAAGGGTTAGGGATGTATCTCAGTGTTAGTGTGCTTGCCTAGCATGTGTGAGGCTCTGGAGAGAGTCACTCAAAAGTTTTTAGAAAGACTGTTTTACATGAACCATAGATAAAATTATCAGTGGTGAAGTGAGATAAACTGGACATCCTACTCAGGGGGACTTGTTAGGGAAAAGGAGTTCTGCCCACTCTTCTTTGCTCCTGAGTAAGGAGAATACCACAAAGTAGAAGGCAGAGAGTACAGAAAATAAAAGTTTCTTTCAAACTTCTAAAGAAAGATAATTTCCTATCTTATTTACATATCCTAAAGCAGTAGTTCTTTATATTTTTGGTGTCAGAATTCCTTTATACTCTAAAATCACTGAGAACCCCAGAGAGCTTTAGGTTATGTGAATTATATTTACTGATATTTTTGTACTAGAAGCTTTAAAATGTTTAACTTTGAAATAATTTCAGAATCACAGAAAGTTAGAAAAAAAATATTGAAACATTCAAAAGCTCAAGAATACACAAGTATGTACTCTATTAGCTGTTACATCACACATTGTACAGTATCTGTAAAACTTCACTGTGCAGGATTGAGAAAATAAGAGAAGAAATGGCAAGTGTTGTTTCAGTAGCATAAAGAAAATAAGTTTTTGGTTTCATAAGCCCCTGAAAGAGGGACCCTAGACAACACTTTGAGAACTGCTATCCAGTATAAATTAATGTAAATGCCAAGGCACTAAAACAACACAGAGTAAGTTCTCCGCCTGAAGAGAGTGGTGAAGTCCCAGGAAGGCACTGTCCTGGGGTCAAAAGGCTCAGCTTTGGTGACTGATCCAATTTACCATAACCAAAAAGCAGGCTGAAAGACAACTGACTCACGATTCTTTGCTGGGAACTGAGGACATGTTTTCAGGAAACATGCTGTCTCTATCAACTTCATTGAGTGCTAAAAAATTTTATAATTATGTCAACATATCTTCCTTCTCATAAAATGATGATAGCAGCAACAAGGTACATCCTGAGGATTAGTGTCTGGCTGGGTCTTGTATTACCAAGTCCTTCTAGATGGTTATTGATCCCCAGGAAATGCTTGCCTCTCAACCGTTATTGTTTAATTAATGTTGTTGAGGCTCACGCTACCCAGCAGCAAACACACAGAACCCTGTGTGTTGATTTTGATCACTGCTGCTGTGGGGATACTGTAAAAGCAGAAGTCAATTATCTTTTTTTTTTTTAATCTATTCCACTGGGTTTAACTTAGGAAGTAGTGAACATATTTAGTGGTTTTAGAAAAGCTTTATTTTACTTTTAGATTTCTGAAAAGAATAATGTTTGCATTTTAAGATGAAACCTGGCAGAGGTTTTTAGTTTGTGATTTGACCTAAGTGTATCCTTTGGGTCAAGTCTCTCAAAGAAAATCATGAATGCTCTCAACCAAACAACCCAATCTAGCATTTGTGCACCAACCCAGAGGGAAGGCTACACCAAGAAGCCAACGACTGGTGGTCCCTTTGGCAGTACTTTGAGGAAGAGCTGGGATAAACTTTGGTGCCAGAAAATGTGGTTTCTGGCAAGGACTCTTGGTACTCATTAATAGTACGGTTAGAAAATCTGTATCAATTACTAATGCCGATAGTGCTGCATGAAATGCTCAGCCTTTGGAGCCATGATGTATACAGTCATCAGCTGCATGCAGGGAAGGGAATGTGTCAGAAGACAGAACTCCCTAAGTCCCCAGTTCTCCAAGGACAACTCTTAGTTTGTCAATCCTGGAATTTTAACTCAGAATGTTTCACATACTACTCTCTTGGAGAGGGGTGTGCCATTAGTAAGTTTTGAAACCTTCATGTCCAAAGAACATGTTGAATGTGGTCAACAACAGTCTGTAATTTACAAAAGTACTATACACATACAAAATTAAATTCTTGGCTTTTCTCCTTAAACCTGTTCCTCTCATCATCTTCAGTAAATGGTAGCTCCAGCCTTCTGGTTGGATGCATCTTGACTATTCTGTTTTGCTCACACCCCACATTCAGTCCTGCTGGCTCTTCAGCACCTCTGCAGACTTGGTCACCTTTCTCCATCTCTACATACACCATGCTACCAAGCCAAGCCACCACCATCATCTCTCTCCTAGAGGACTGCAAGGGCCACCTAACTGGTCTTCCTATTCCAACTCATTCTCCCCAGAGTCCCTTCTCCTTATCTTAAGACATAACACTCCTTCTAACAATCAAAGCTAATTTTACAAATACCTTAAAAAAACAGTAAATGTAGGCAAGAACCATCAAAGGATGCTAAAGTCACTGGGAACAGTTTGTTGGTTACCTGGATGTACTATTTATACAGACTCAAGGCTATGTCCACCAGAAGGAAAAGGGACATTTACAAGTAAAAAATTTAATAAAACTATCTCAGGAAAGTAAACATCACCAATAACAGGACAGGTTGACATTATGTGCCTCAATTCTGATGCACTGAGAAGGACCCATCATCACTTAGTCTTCCTGAAAAAATGTATACCTTTAATCTATAAAGGGATTAGATTATCCAAATGGAGAAGCACTCTACATAGCAACTGGCATGTCTTTCAAAAAATTCTGATGTTAATGAAAGACAAAGGAAGACTAAAAACCTGTCAGAATCAAGGAGACTGAGGAGATAATACCCTTTTTATAAATGAAAGGAATAATGTTGGATTGGACCCTGGAACAACCACAAAAAAAAGGTATGAAGGCAATTATTGGAACATTTAGAGAAATCTGAATATGAAATATATATGTACACTAAAGTTTTCATCGATGTTAAATTCCTTTAATTTGATAAATACATCATGGCCACGTAACAGACCACCTTTGTTCTTAGGAGATATTCACTGAAATATATCTTTTGAGGTAAGACAGTCTGTCACTTCTAGACCAGCTCAGCAAAAACAGTATGAGAGAGAGAGAGAGAGAGAGAGAGAGAGAGAGAAACAAATGTGGCAAAATGTTAACAATCGGTGGTTAATCTATGTGAATGGTATATATTTTGCTCCTTGTACCATTATTGCAGATTTTCTGTAGATATAAGATTTTTCAAAATCAAAACACATATATGGGCTGGGGCTGAGTGGTAGAGCACTTCCCTACCATGTGTGAGACACTGGGTTTGATTCTCAGCACCACATATAAATAAAATAATAATAATAATAAAGGTCCATCAACAACCAAAAATATTAAAAAAATATATATAGTAATTGAAAAATTACATCGTGCCTTTACTTAAGTCCCTCCAATGGGCTCCCATCTTACTTAGATAACGGGTCTCACTGCCCGCTGCTCTGGCTCTCTTGCTCTGCTCCTAATGTCCTTCATGGTAGTCTTTCAATATGCCACTCAAAGACCTCCTCAGGGATTTTGCATTGTGGGCATGGAATGGCCTTCCCCAATTCTCCCATGGATCCCTTCTTCACATCCTGTCAGAGAGGCTTTTCTCACTACTCTTTGTAAGACAGTAACTTCCTGCCTTTACGCCAATGCCTCCATCTGTTCCATTTTTCCTGGCACACCTATTTCTACCTGACAGATCATGTATTTATCTTCCTGCCATCTACTTCTTTCCTTGGCACATGAACTCCTTGAGGAGGTAGATGGGTTTGCTCCTTGCTGTGTCTCCAGCCTCAAGAACAGTGTTTGCTGGACAGTTAGTATCTGCTGAGTGAATTCACTGCTTCATAAATGCTCATTTAAAACGTCAGAATGCTAGTTCATGCTCCCAAAGTTCCTGGTAAAGAGCCACTAAGTGTCCAACACTTTTTCAGGAATCTGTTTCTGAATAACTCTCCATTTGTGGAATTGTGCTCAAAGCAGGAAACAAGGGCTGCTAGGGGGACATGTTTTATTCATGTTCCCTACCCTGAACACACTGATAGAAACCTGTCTAGTTCTTAACTAGATGAACTGATTCTTCCACCCTGCCCTTTTCTGAGCAGATCAAATCCAGACTCTGAAAACCCTGAGCCCCCGCATGCTACATTAACCTGAATCTCAAGGACATGGAAAGCCTGGGACCCCAGAAGCAGGGTGCCTGATATGACATGCAGGGTATCCTGCAGGGTGTTCTGCTGTTCCAGGGGTAGTCAAGAAGCTGCAAGTGGCAAGGAGACAACACAGGACAATGGTTTTCCCATGTGAGCTCTCAAAAAGAGAGTGCGATTCCCCAAGTTACTTACGTCTGTGGAGGTGGGGCTGGGCAGGGACACAGGCTGCACAGGTGCAGGGAAAGTGAATGTGGTCTCTGTCTTTTCACTTTCAGGGGAGTCGGGATGACTGGATGGGGGGGATGTTGGGGTAAGGGCTCCAAACCCCAGCACTGCATTGTATTTTGGAGGACGACCTATATACCAAGAGAAGGGAACAAAAGGGGAAACGGGGAGGGAAAGAGAAGGGGAAAACGATCTTACATACCTTTGGCCAGTGTTCCTCATTGGCTAGCATGGAAAAGGAAGTGAGGTAGCGACAGAAGGTTAATACAACAGTCCCAAAGGAAGGAAGAGAAGCAAAGACTTAAACGTCATTAGAAACAACTACAAGAACCCCAAAGGGAAGGAAAAGAGGGCCTGGGAGAGTAACAGGAGGTGCTGGCTTATGGAAGAAGACCTCATCCTGGGCAGAATATGGTGACATTCCTAGACTCACAGTTTGAGATCTCTAGTGCAGAAACCAAGATGTCCAATGGGAGCCAAGGCAAGGAATAGGGTTTTATTTTGCATGCTTTTTGCATATTGTTCTTTAAGGTTTCTCTGTAATTATCATTCTTACAATGATAGTAATGGTTCTAAAGTTCCCACAGACTTATTTAGCATTTTTACTTTTCTATTTCTCTCCTGTCTACATTTTGGTTGTTTTACTGCAGGTGAAGGTGGAGAAGGATAGACAAAGCAAGGAGACAAAATTCGAAAATAGTTGTATTTTCACCCCTTGCTGTTAGAACTATTCAAAGAGAGGTTCTGGGAGCATCTGGAACCTACAAGTAACAAGAGGCTTTGGGCTTAACGGTAAATTTAGGCATTCATGGATCTCTCCCCAACAGATTGAGACTATCTCCTTGGTTATGTCACAAACATTCTGGTGATCTACACGTCTAAGAAATGGGGCTGTTCTAAAGTCCCATAAAAGTCCATCACCAGCACTCTTAAAGAACTGATTTGAGGCAGAGCACTTTGAATTGAACTTTATACTACAAGGCATCTATGAAGGAGCACTAGGGGTGCGGGAAGTCTACTGAAGCCACTCTCATCTTACCACATATCAAAGTCAGGGCCCTTGGTCTTCTAAGAGTCAGGACCATAGCTTCTAAGCTGTGAGTGATCATAAGACCAGCACACCAAAGAGGGAAAAACCCCCAAAACCAAAACCAGCCAGAGAGGCCCAGAACTGCTTATCAGCACTGGTGAACAGTGCATGTGGAATCATGACTTTACCCCCAGTTACAGATTATACTAGCATTATGCAAAGAGTCACGATTCTGTCAGACATTACACCAATATTCCCTGTGCTAAACTGGCAATGTCCGCAGTCCAGACACAGATCTGCCAGTCTGTCTTTTCAAGGTACTTAGTGCTGTAGGGAGAGGAAGTGAAGATGTATGCTCTTTGTTTACCCATGGAAGGCACATCCTAGGTATTGTGAATAAAAGCTTTTATCCTCTGACCTTGGCAAGAGGTGCCAAGGTCTTTCTGGCTCATTTAATTCCTATACTCCAAGCAGATACTGCCCACCAGCAGACCAATTAACTGTGACCTCTGGCAGGGGAGGGGAGTTCTTTCTGAGAACTGTGTCAGAAGTCATTAAAAAAATAGTTGAACACAAAACAACAAAAAATAACTTACTAGCATTGGTTACTGTGGCCAGGAATCAATCTAAAGTGCAGTGACTTAGGATTTCCCACCTAAATATTTTTAGTAACTTGAAGGACAGGACTGATAAAATATTGGAATGGGTCACTAAGGGTCAGTATCTCTCTTCTGGAGGAGGAGAAAGTAACAATATAGCTGTAGTCCTTCTTAAGGCAGAAAAAAGGGTTGAGATGACCTCCTCAGCTTCCTAGAGCTGTGTGTCAGTGTGTGCACACGCAAAAATTAGTATGCTAGGCCACTCTCTGTGCAACCTTTCTAGCCTGGAACTATAATTCAGGGGTACATTACCATGTGGAGAAAGGGACCTTGGGATGTATTACTGACATCAAAGAACAATTTCAGGATCTTGTTTATGAGCTCAGACATGAGCTATTAAAACCTATTTAGACCTGCACAGTGAGAGCTATTGCCGCTATTTTTCTGCCCTATGACTAAGGTAGAACGCTCAATGGGGGTCTGAAAGGTGGGAACAGAGCTCCTCAGGAGTTAATGCTTTAGGGAGTCTGTTTTGATAGTGGCTTTTTCTTCTTTAAGTGGAGATACCTCTTTTTAAAGATTCTATGTTCTCTCCTTCCTGGAAAGTCTGTAGTTCATGTTCTAGCCTTACTGGAAGCAGGGTGACTGAGACACTCACTATGAAGAACACCTTGGCAACAGTAGGGCTCTGCTCTTCTTAATGATGCTCAACACTCCCTTTCACATGGTGTTCTATTCACTGCTATTCCTGGGCAGCCTGTAGGCTTGGGGCAGAAATGCTGCACTAAGCCATTCACCTGAGTCAGCTTTGCCAGACCCAGAAAAGTCAGCTTTTGATTCCGCACATACAACTCTGAAAAGAAATCTCATTCTCTGTTCCTCCTGTTCTCAGAGAACCACAACAAACTATTTTCAAGGGACAGAGGGGTCAGGTTCTAGGAGGGAGAAGGGAGGGAAAAGAAACACAACACAGAAAGCAAAAGTAACAGCAAGGTGGAGACTGAAAAATGCACTCACCTCTCTTCCGGGTCCCAGGATGCATTGTGCTGTTTAGGTATGTGACGGCACTCTTCTTACGCTTTGGGAATTGAAGAAGGAAAGGTGACTGGCTGAGCAGCCTGGTTATTACTGAAGACATGCATATATGCCTGTCACACGCTAACTAGTTAGCACCAATCATCCCCAAAATCTCAGTATAATGGATTTTATTATGAGAACTTGGTCCTCAGAAAATATGCCAGAGTTCGGCTTCTGTTTCAGTTGAGAGTTGTGGTAAAGAAAAGACAAATTAAAAATTTTCAGGCAGGTTTGTATTTGCTCAAAATTAGGTTGGGGGGAACCCCTAAGGGGTAAGCAGTGAATAATAAAAATGAAATAATGTGATGAGCCAGAGTAAAACCATCATTTCACTGAGTTGGCCAAGTACAAGGTGCTGCTTGCTCTTAAGCAGGTTTTCAGATGGGAGGTGCTAAACAAGTCCCAAATAAAACTGGAACTTTAAGGAAAAAACCAAAGCAGGGCAGGAGTACCTCTGGTTCAAAGACTGCTCCACTGTATACTGGATTTGCTGTTGTTCTTCTTTTTCGCTCTTGCCTCTTGCTTTGGATTTCTTGGGAAAAGAAAAGGCTTGGATTAGAAGACAGGTATGGGAAATCTAAAAAACTGAACTTGGTTGTTTATCTATTGGTTTTTCCTGTAACAAATCAAGAATGGGGTGAGTCTCCATTTCACTGGAGCCCCCACAGAGGCAAGCCCACTATTAGAAGCAAACATGTAGGATCACCTGCTCTCCTCTCTCAGAAAGCAAGACTGCACTGTTCCACAGCATGGCTCTGGAACTGGGAGCCCACAATATACCACCACACTTAACAAATAAACTGTCCTAATTTATTTTTAGACTGCTGTGCACATAGGTCTGGATGAGCTTTCTCCATAAACTTATACTGAGAAACCAAAATTCACCATTCTTTAATCAATCATTCTTGAATCAAATAACCAAGACAGGCATAACTTTGTAAGGCTTTAAGATTCTGATAACACAAAGTAATTGGAAAATACAGACAAGGACTTGTTAGAAGAACAGTTGCCACTTTACTGTCAAAATGAAAGTGCATCCCCCACACTGATCAGAAGTCACCTAATTTAGGCAGCTTGGGGAGGTTTCCCAGGACCACAGTGTGGATGACGCTAGGAAGGGAAGGCCCTAAACATTAGATGGAGGGGAGGCAATGTTTTCTCTAAAGGAAATGAAGTCCATATGGTTGAATCATACTCTACTTGTGTTCTAATTTTCTATCCTAGGAATTCAAACACCACTTTCAGGGACAAAGCTGTGGGCCAGAAAGAAGGCAGTGCCAAGAATATCTTTTCTCTTACCTTCTAGATGGTCATGTGTTACCAACCCTAGAGACACCATGAAGGCAAGTTTCTGTGCCAGAGAAACAAAAGAAGAATATACTTCAGTCTGGGTTCTCACAAAGCCAACTGCTGGTTCCTAGTTAGACACCAGGGAAAGCCCAGTGGGCTGGGTGCTTGACGGAGGCTGGGTTCAGAGGAACCAAGAGCAGACATCTGCCACTCCAGGAAGCACTGGAGCCACTCTAGAGGCATTCTGGTCTAACAGGGCCAAAAAGGAAGGACAGGGGTCTACATCTTCCACTTGCTCAATGTCACAAATCTGCATCTTGAGTAACCCAAGTTTTTGTCAGAAAAATATTCTTAAAAGGAAGAGAATTTTATATTCAAAAACACACAAAGAATTTAAAGAGTATTCCATGAAACAGGCTCCAAATTTCAAGTACTTCACTTGTCAGGATTAGTTGGAGTTTTTAACATTTTTTACTGCCACTAATTAGACAATGCTACCACAAAGCTAAAATGATTTTCAAGAATTACAGCAGTTTCTGTTTATACTGTTATTTATTTATTCATTTACTTATTTTGATGTCCTGGTACTCTGGGACTAAACCCAGGGGCACTTAACCACTAAGCCGCATCTCCAGTCCTTTTTTAAATATATTTTAAATATATTTTACTTTGAGACAGGGTTGCCAAGTTGCTTAGGCCTACTAAGTTGCTGAGACTGGCATTAAACTCATGATCTTCCTGTCTCAGCCTCCTGAGCTGCTGGAATCACAGGCATGTGCCACCTGGCTGATACTAAAATTTTTAAATTAAACATAGATCTAAAAATCATGGAGCAATTTCTCTCTGAAAACCACTATATTAGGGCTCCAACAGAAACAAGGATGATTAGACTACTAATCTGACTGCAGGTTCCTAGTTAGACACCAGGGAAAGGCCAGTGGACTGGTTGCTTGACGAAGGCTGGGTTCAGAGGAACCAGGAGCCACAAAAATGGAATGTTAAGACACTTCAAGCTATAGAAAGCAACAGATTTATTAAAAAAATATAGTTATAGATGAACAGTATATCTTTATTTTGTTTTTTTAAAATATCTTTATTTTATTTATTTATTTTTATGTGGTGCTGATAATCAAACCCAGGGCCTCGCACATGCTAGGTGAGTGCTCTACCACTGAGCTACAGCCACAGCCCCTTATTTATTTATTTTTATGTGGTACTAAGGATTAAACCCAGGGCCTCAATGTGTTAGGCAAGTGCTCTGCCACTGAGATACAGCTCCAGCTCCAACAGATTGATTTTTATTCTTCTCTTTGGTTCTTTGTGGTCTGAAAAGTATGACTTTAGAAACCACTACATGTGTTTTCTGAATATGTCAAATAATACATCATCAATTTCTTTCTCTGATGAAAAAAGAACATCATTAATTGTTAGCAGACAAGCTCCTATAGTTTTTTTTTTTTAAGTTGCAGATGGACACAATGCCTTTATTTATTTATTTTAATTATTGAGGACCAAACTCAGTGCCTTACACGTGCTAGGCAAGTGCTCTACCACTGAGTCACAACCCCAGTCCCTCCTATAGAATTATTAATACGATGGTTTGGTCTTTAAATATCTTGACCTCTTCTTCTCAGCTTTAAATATTATGACACTTTGTCTAAAGTGAGAGGTTCAAACTATTCAAGATGCATTCCTTGAGAACAGAGGAATGTGTTTACAGGTATCTTTAGAGTCCTGAAAAAAATGTTCTAATTTTACTTCCCACTTCAAAATCTTTGGTGGACACCTATTCCCTCCACAGCTGGAAAGGAGCAGTAGTCCTAAACTCACAGCCCATTTCCTATGCTACACATTGAAATGGCATTCATTTTGTGGTTGCCAATAACCACATTCCTAATTTCTACTATTTCTTTAAAATAAAATCAAGATTAGAGGGCTGTCAGTTGAGGCCAGGTTTGGTGGTGCACACCTGTGATCCCAGCAGCTTGGGACACTGAGGCAGGAGGACTTCAGTTTCGAAGCCAGCCTCAGCTACTTAGTGAGGCCTAAGCAACTTTGAGACCCTGTCTCAAAATAAAAAATAAAAAGGGCTGGGGGATGAGACTCAATGGCAAAGCAACCTGGGTTCAATCCCTGGCACACACACACACACACACAAATGGCTGTCTCAGTTGGGTGGTAATACACAATTCCTGCTACTTAGGAGGCTGAGGCAGGAGGATCACGAGTTTGAGGCCAGCCATGCCAACTTAACGAGATCCTGTCTCAAAAAATAATAAGGGATGGGGATGTAGCCAGGTGATAGGGCAGTTGCCTACCATATACGAGGCCCTGGCTTTGATCCCCTGTATCACATACAAACAAAAAAGATTAGAAGGCTGCTGTCCACCAACATTCTTTGCTAATAAACCAGTGTTTAGATTGACATTCAGATGCATCTTTTCAATCTTGGGTCACTCACATCCAGCTCCTCTTTGCCAGTCTAGGTCAAACTCACAAAATAATTATTAAATGAAAACAATCTCCTGTCTTGTGGAATAGTGTTTCAGTGATAGAACAAAAAGATTTCAAGAACTTCTGCCAAATACCCACACATGTAACCACATACCCACATACATATTATATAGTATGTATATCAAGAGCTCTTCTACTTTCTTTATGGCAGTGATTCTGTCCAACTAAGTGAAATATCTGCTACTACACAGATGGCATCTGACTACTCACACTATGTGCCACTGACCTGAGATATTCTTTAGATTCTTTTGGTAAGGAAATTCTGCCAACAGTTTATTTTTCCTCCACCAAGCACAAAACCTGTCATTAATTTTTTTTTTTTCTTCCTGTGGTGCTGGGGATTGAACCCAGGGCCTTACTCATGCGAGGCAAACACTGTACCAACTGAGCTATATCCATAGCCCCTTGTCACTAATTTTATGGATGATTTCATAAGTTTCTCAGCAATTTGTGTAACTAGTACTTTTCTGTGGCTTAAATTTTGGTCCTCTCTTTCTTTTTCCTTTTCAGTATTGGGGATCAAACCTAGGACTTCATGCAATCTAGGCAATTATTCTATCACTGAGCTACACCCACCCTTGTTCCTTTCTTCAAAGATGAAATTAAAAATTCATTCATATCATATCATAAAGAATTACATTTGGTGCTTATTTTTGAAAAACCTGGGCTAGTTCAATAAATCACTGATATATTATACACACACACACACACACACATACACATATGTGTGTGTATGTGTGTGTGTGTGTGTGTGTGTGTGTGTGTGTGTGTGAGAGAGAGAGAGAGAGAGAGAGAGAGAGAGACATGAAGTTTTGATGGCTTCATGCCACTACTTGACATAGTTACATTATGAAAAATGCATGGAGGATAAGAGGGAGATGGATTACAAGTCTAATAAAATCCAACTATCAGAGATTCATCATATTACCTGTCTGCATTTTTCTTTTATAGCTGATTATACAAAAGCATTAAAGTAAGATATTCTCTTATGAGGACACACAAATTCACATTCTGTATTTGTATCGGGGTCTTGTTTGCTATTTATATTTGTAATTCTCTCCTAAGTTTATATAGATGTTCCATCTTTTTTTTATGTTTCAATGAACTACTTTTACACTACCAATTCATTTAGGATTTGGGGTTTTAATACAATAAAAAGTAATACAAAATGCACATTTAACAACTGTAATCAATAATGTAAACAGACATAAGCTGAGTGAACTGGACATTTATAAATGCCTGAGACAAACAGAATATAATAATAATTTGGAATATAACAGTACAGCTGTAACGTGTATTTGAACATCACCATTTCAAAACTTTTCCTTTGAAATAGCAAAATACTTAAGTGCCAGTGCATAGATCCTTAGGGCCATACTCAAATATGCCCCAAATGTTATTTAATTCTTTCTGATACAATATGAATGAATGTTTATGCCCTAAATGTGGGTGCAACTAAATATAAAAAAAAGCGACTACTCAAATTAAAGCCTCAGATAGACCCAGCACAATAATATTGGATAATTTCAACACATCTCCCTCACCAACCAGACTCAGAAATAATATTGTTGGATAAAAGAAAATATAAGAAAAAGATTGCTGAGTGATTCAGAAAGCAGGTATCCCTCCCGCCTCATGTGGGAATGAACTATACATCAGAGGCTGAACCACACTTCAGAAAGATGGACCTACCTGAGGGTTCTCTTCCCGTTTTGGTTTGGGTGCAGCAGGTGGGGTGATGGTACGGCTCTCTGTTTGTTTTTCATCTGTTTCTGTGTGGGATTTAACTGTCTAGGAGAGAAAAATTCAATGTAAATTCAGAATTCATTTTTTAAAAATTGAAAACAGTAATTTAACTGTTAAAGGCAGCTGAAGAAAAGAACATGCTCAAATCTAGAACATATTAATAGAAGAGTTCACAGCATAGATTTCACTGGGGGTAAAATGTAAAGACCCAGCTGAAGATTAATCAGACTGTACAACTAGAATAAATAAGAATCTATAAATAAATAAAGTAATTTAAATTATACAAAAAGAAATATCCAAAGTAAAATTCCCATGTATGAAGTGAAGTGCTGCTCTGATGTCAATGTACTATAGGATGTGGAGGTAGCTTCCTAGAAGCAAGTCCACTGTCATATATGGGTCAAGCTCTAGACCACAGCATGCTCAAGAGCTGAGGGTCAGAATCAATCTGCATAAATGCTCTTCTTCAGAATAATTCCAATCATAATCTGAGAGACTGAAGAACTACCTTTACTTGAGATATTTAAAACCTACCTATATTATCCATTAGGGGAGACAGGAAATTGCTAAAGGGTCACCTTGCAAGGGCTGAAGTCCAGAATACTCCCAACTCCCTCTAGAGATATCCACTTAAACATCAGAAACACCAGTTGCATGACTATCTTTAAACACAAATGGTAGTAACCTACTGGCAGACTGAGACTGTATTACTATTCTTTCCACAACCTAATGGATAATTAATTTTATGAGTTCTGTAAATACTCAAATTATTTTAGAACAGTAGACATAAAACTGTATATAAAAACCTAATTTAGTTTTTCAAAATTGAAAAAAACTGCACAAAATTTGGTCTTTTTGTATGTAACTACGAGTAATTAAATTAGGATCAAATTATCTCATTATTGATTGGCAGGAGTAAAAGACTTCAATCCTACAAAAATAACATCAAAAGTTTTAAAAATCATAATAAACATCTTTCTATAATAACACTGAGTGCAAATGGTGTCAACTCTCCAATTAAAAGACAGACTGGCAAAACAGATTTAAAAACAAGACCCATCTTGCTAGAGATTCATCTTACAGGCAAAGACAGCTACAGGCTGAAAGTGAAAGGGTGGAAATTGATATACCATGTGATGGAGCCTGAAAACAAGCAGGAGTAGCTGCTCTCATATCTGACGAAGCAGACTTCAAAGTAAAATTAATCAGAAGAGACAAAATCATTTCACACTGATAAAGGGAATAATCCAACAAGAAAATATGATGATAATAAATATTTATGCCTCATAATTAAGAGATACTACTTGAATTAAAGCCTCAGAGACATCCCAGTATAATAAAACTGGATGATTTCTCCCTCACCATTGGTGAGGCCATCCAGACATAAACTCAGGAAGACTCTTTGGACCTGAAAAATATTATAAATAAAATGGATTTAAGAGACATCTACAAAATATTTCATCCAACAAAGCTGAATACACATTCTTCTCAGCTACACATGGAGTCTTTTCCAAAATGGACCACATTTTAGGCCACACACACACACCTTTTAGCAAATACAAAACAACAACCACCATGAAAACCCTGATACAATTCCTTGCATCTTATCAAATCATAATGGAATGATTTGATAAGTACCAAAAAACCCCACAGAACTATATAAACACATGGAGATTAAATAATACACTTTTAAATGATGAACAGATGATGGAAGAAATTAGGGGAGGAATTTAAAAGTTCTTAAGACCCAAAGGAGAATAATGATACAACATATGGAAACCTATGGAACACTATGAAGGCAGTGAGTGTAGACACTATGAGTGTCTACATAAGAAAACCAAAAAGATTCCAAACAATCAACCTAATGATACATAATAAACATAAACAAACGAATTCCAAAACTAGTAGAAGGAAGGAAATAATTAAAATCAGAGTCAAATCAATGAAATTGAGAATACAAAAAGAATACAAGGGGGCTGGGGGTATAGCTCAGTTGACAGAGTGCTTGCTTAGCATGCACAAGGCTCTGGGTTGAATCCCCAGCACCACCAAGGGGAAAAAAGTACAAAGGATCAGTGAAATGAAGAGTTGGGTTTTTTGAAAACATAAAACAAGATGAAGTGCTGGGGTTGTGGCTCAGATGTAGAGTGCTCACCTAACACATGTGAGGCCCTGTGTTTGATCCTCAGCACCACAGAAAAATAAATAAATAAAGGTATTGACAACTACAACTAAAAAATAAATATAAAGACAAAAACAAGACCATACGGGGCTGGAGATGTGGATCAAGCGGTAGCGCGCTCGCCTGGCATGCGTGCGGCCCGGGTTCGATCCTCAGCACCACATACAAAGATGTTGTGTCTGCCGAATACTAAAATATAAATATTTAAAAAAAAAGACCATAAGCCGTTAGCCAAACCAACCAAAAGAAAAATAGAGAAGACTCAAATTAATAAAATATAGATAAAAGAAATTACCACAAACATCACAGGAATCAAGTGAGTAGATCATTAGGAATTATTTTGAGCACTTACATTCCCATAAATTGGAAAACCTAGAAGAAATACATACATTTCTAGATATACTGACCTGCCAAAATTGAATCAAGAGAACACAGAAGACCTAAACAGCCCAAAAACTAGTAATGAGAAAGAAGCAGTAATAAAAACAAAACAACGAAGTACACGATTAGAAGGATTCTCAGCTGAATTCTACCAGACCTTTAATAAAAAAGAAGTAATGCCAATGCTCCTCAAATTATTCCGTGAAATATAGAGGAACGAACATTTCCAAATTCATTCTTGTGAAGCCAGTATCACACTCGTACCCAAACCATATAATGACACATCAAGGAAAGACCAATATCCCTGATGCAAATATCCTTACTAAAATATTAACAAACTGAATTCAACAAAATATTAAAAAGATTGTACATCATTACCAAGTTATTTTTATCCTAGAGATGCAAGAATGGCTTAACATATGCAAATCAATAAATGTAAATTCATCATAAATAGAATCAAGGACAAAAACCACTTAGTCATCTCAATAAATGCAGAGAAAGCCTTTGACAAAATTCAATACCCATTTATGATAAAAAAAAAAAAGCACTGAAGAAACTAGTGACAGAAGAACCCTACCTCAACATCATAAAGGTGTAAAAGAAAAACCCAAAGCCCAAAGCCAACCTCATAGTAAATGGGGACAAACTGAAAACATTTCCTTTAAAATCTGCAACAAGACAGGATGTCCACTCTCACCACTTTTATTTAATACAGTGCTAGAAATTCTAGCCAGAACAATTAGGCAAGAAAAGAAATAAAAGGGATAAAAATAGAAAAGGAAGAAGTCAAATTAAAACTATGGATGATATGCCTCTATACTTAAAGATCCAAAAAGCTAATAAATTCAGTCAAGTAGCAGATTATAAAATCATCACATAAAAATCAATAGCTTTCTTATATACTGCTGGGCTGAAGTAGTGGCTCATGGTAGAGCACTTGTCTAGTATGTGTAAGGCACTGGGTTTGATTCTCAGCATCACATATAAATAAATAAACAAACAAACAAACAAATAAATAAATATCCATTGACAACTAGAAATCAGGAAAGCAATCCCATTCACAAATAGCCACAAAAGCAAAACAAAAAACATAAGAATAAATCTACTCAAGGAGTTAAAGAACCTCTACAGTGAAAACTATAGAACACTAAAGGAAGAAATTTAAAAAGACACAAGATGGGAAGACCTCCCATGTTTGTGGATTAGCAGAATTAATATTGTTAGAATGGCCATAGTACCAGAAGCAATACAGATTCAATGCAAATCCCATCACAATACCAACAACATTCTTCACAGAACGAGAAAAAAAAGACCTAGAATTCATTTGCAAGAAAAAAAGATCCCGAATACCCAAAACAATTAGAATTTTTGGCTTAGAAGCCAAAAAAAGCATTGCCGGAAGCACCATAATATCTAATTTCAAATTATACTGCTGAGCTATAGTAACAAAAACTGCATGTACTGGTATAAAAACAGACACATAGATCGATGGGAGAGAATAGAAGGCACAGGACAAAAACACACACTAGAGAAGATGGCCTTTTTAATAGATGGTATAATGCACCAATAAAAATGTGAGGAAAAAAGATTCTTAAAAATCATAATGCTGTGAAATATTTTACCAGATCTGAAAAACTAGCATAATCACAAAAATATTTCACTTTCTTTCCTGGCCACTTCCATATTTTCTTTCTGCTTTCCAAATTATATTACATTAGGAAAGTGTAAGCAATCAATACTGCAGCAAGTGCTCCTGTGGGGCATAAACGCCGCCGTGTGTGTGGACAAAGTCCTGCCATACGTCTCCCTTTGTACCATAAGCTACTTGAGTGGGGGCTATTCTGTACACCCCTTGTTTTGCACCCTTTGTGCTTAGTGTAGTACTTCACTCATTGCAGGAATACAAAAAGAGTTGATTGTTCGTCTGAGTCAAGAATGTAACCTACCAGGAGCATCATTCAAGTCTTTTCCCTCTCTCTCTCTCTCTCTCTCTCTCTCTCTCTCTC